TTTAGAAAGTGAACCATCGATAAGAAAATGTTGGCAGTTTTCTCAAAAAATGCTTGAATTCAAGAAGTTTTAGATTTGCGTGGTTTTCTTTGAGTCGCAAAATCCACTTGAACATGACGCTGCTTTTTTCGAAGTTTCGATCCGCCCTTGGCCGAAATACCTGATAGAACCCAAGGATGATATTCATGCAGGGAATACGAAATTGCATATAGAGTCCGAATTATGCAAGGCCAGTGCATTTGGGAATACACCGCCACACAGGGCCTTAAAGTTAGATTTATACTCGCAATTTCCTATATGAAATGCCCATTAAACAGCAGTGTTTCTTTCAGGGAACTGTGGAATTTTCTGTGCTCTACTCGCTCCCTGATGCGTCGCTTGCATCTTTCACTGGCAGCCCTTCATTGGATCACATGCTGGACGATGACCAACAGATGCTGTTTGATATTGAGCAAAATATCGCCAATATAGAGAAGAATCTTCTCACTGAGCAAACGGCACTGGAGCCCAGCAAGAAGAAGCCTTTTAGAAGAGGGATCAGCACGCCGGACAAAAGCGTTAGTGACCGGAAAAGGTCGACGCTCAGAAGTGTGCGGGTAAGATACAAGACAAAAAAATTGCTCTGGTCGACCAAACCATTCCATTCCATCCAGCAGAGCCTGATTAAATTTGGCAAGCAACGACCGCCGAAAGATAGCGACACGGAAGATGAGCTGACGCACCTCATCAGAGGTTCCGAGTCGGGCAGAAGCTCACGGAATTCTGAGCTGGATTCTGCTCCAATCTCCCGGGCTGGAAGCGACACTTCCATTGATTCCAATGGAGACTATCAGTTAACAACCACAGAAAAAAAACGAGCAACTAAGTAAGAGGAAAATTATTTTTACAATGCACTTATTCCACCTTGGGTCTTTCAGACTAAAAGAGCTGAAAAACAGTCAAACCGTTTCTGACCCCGCTCTAAAGGCTCAAGACTTTCAAGTGTGCTTGACTATAATTGAGGCTCGTCAACTGGCAGGCCTTAACATGGATCCAGTGGTTTGCATTCAAATTGGCGAGCAGCGAAAATACACCAGTGTAAAAGAGAGCACAAATTGCCCATATTATAATGAGGTAATACCAACGCTTCCATTTAGATTTTTCCATATCAATATCCCGGGATTTTTGGGACAAAATTAGGGCAATATTTGAGGAAAGGATCATATTTGAGGCAATTCTAGCCGTCAGCATGAATATTCTGCAGAAATAATTAGCACTAGCGAGCTTTTGAAATTAGATCGATCCATCGTTAATTAGGAGTGGTTTTATGGACTATCAATTATCCAAAGATTGGCATCGAAAAATTGTTACCCGTTAACCATGCGGGTGATTTAAGGCGCAAATTTCCATAAAATTATTTGTTTCAGTACTTTGTCTTCGACTTCCACATGCCTCCCATTATGCTGTTTGACAAAATCATTCAACTATCGGTAAGTTGTCTGCAACATTTTTGCCTTTAGTTAGTTTTAAGCTGTGGAAGCTGCTAAAAAAGTTGATTAAAATTCCGCATTGTAAAGTCGGGACTTTTAGCGAAAAATGGGCAGTGCTCTAAAGCCAAAAGCTTCTCTGGCTGCAACAAGAAATAGAGAAAATTGCGAGAATTCCTGGAGAATGTTGCTTTATCGAAAGCGTCCAAAGTGCGATTTTCAACAGGTGTTTCTCTATCGATCCAGGCAGAAGCTAACAGGGACGTGTGGGACGAGTTTTAGTCGCTTGCATCGCTTATTAATGGGGAAAGCGACCGAAACTGAATAAGATATTCACTAAAAGCTACAATCTAGATTAGAAATAGTTCAATATTCCCTAGAGAGTTGCTGTTCTTCGATCGTATAGGAGACTTTTTAATTAAAATCATAGTTTAGTGTATTTGTTTTTAGGCAAAATTCAAACAAATCTGGTACATCAAAGAAAATTAAAGAAACCAAATTGAGACTAAAATTTTGCTTAAAAATATCCGAAAATTGAATTGAAAGCTTGCGTACAAAACTTTATGTTTTATTACTTAAATTGTCCATTTCATCCAGAAATGTTATCGCATTCTTCCCATATATTTTGTGTGTTTGAATATTAAAATCCAACTTTCGAATTTCCGTTATTTTAATTTCGTATTTCAAGCACACTCGTCAATTTCACGCAATTTAAAGCGGGACTTTTTATCGATTTCCACACACTGAAGCTTTTAGTGTATCAAGGATTGAAACACGTTTTGGAAATGTCGATTTTTCCCGATAGAATAACAAGAAATGAATGCAAATTAACCAATGGTACAGTAGGTAAAAGTAAAAATTTCTGGCGCAGTTGCAAACCGTTTGGGGCCAAGTTTCAGTCCTAAACCGGTCCTGCAACTGCTTGCTTATAGCGTGCATGCGTCCGTTAAACGCATACAAGACTGCTGTACAAATTCACATTTTAATGCAAATTATTACTTTATTTTTATTTGTCTAATTGATTTTTTTGTAAATTTTTAGGTGTTGCAGTCACGCAACTTTTTGCGCGGCAACAAAATGCTGGGAAGCTTTAAACTGGATGTGGCCACAGTTTGGGCTCAGCCAGGTACACACTTGTTTTTTAGACTCGTTTCTTTGTTCGCATGATTTTAAGTTGCTTGCAATTAGTCCACACATGCATCTGCGGACAATACAGTTTTTTGCGGTATTTTATCCAAGAGGACACGAATTTTGAACTCTTTTGAAAGCGTTTGAAATAAAAATAAATTAGCTTCGGTGTTTGAGTATATTTGGCCCGAAGCAATTGCATTAGTTTCACTTTGGAAACTCTGTGCTGTAATAATAGGCATAGTTTTGCTTTCAAATTTAGCGTCCAACTGATTTACATACACACAGTTTCTTTAAATACACTTTGGAGGCAAGTTTCCAACTCCATGCCCTCATATCGGGGCTGAATAGTTTGGATAAATCGACGTGAAAATTATATAAGAAATGGACGTTTTGATGTTAAAAGACGCATCGACCAGGGGCACACTCACTTTTCCAACTCATTTCCTAAAGGACCAACATCCGGCAATAAAACAATGTTTTTTTTTAATTTAATCTGCCGGCATTAGTACTGGCCATTATTTTCCTAGTTCTAACTAGCGAGCGTTTCCAGATCACCAATTCTATCACAAATGGGCCCTGTTGACCGACCCTGATGATATAGCCGGAGGCCCAAAGGGTTATTTAAAATGTGATATCAGTGTGATAGGAAAAGGGGATACAGTTAAGGTGCCGTCGAAGAGCGAAAGGGATGAAGACGATATCGAAGCGTAGGTTTACAGCCTGCAAGAGTGCAATTTTCGCGATCTAAAACTGCTGTTGCAGGAACCTTTTGTTGCCCGACGGAGTGCCGACTGATCGACAAAGAGCGCATTTCGTGGTCAAAATCTACCGAGCTGATGGATTGCCGAAAATGAACTCTTCGCTAATGGCAAATGTGAAAAAAGCCTTTACAGGCGAGCTCAATGACTTAGTCGACCCTTTTGTTCAGGTTTCTTTTGCCGGATTAACGGTGAGACGATTTTTTACTAGTTGTTTCTAGTCTTTCCAAAATACCTACAGGAGCAAATGAAACTTTGCACAATTAGTGAAAGTTCCACATTCTCTTGGCTCTTAGTAGAAATATATCGCTGCGGAACCAAAAATGTGATGTTTTAAGACCAAGAAAACATTTTTTGTAAAAAAACAAATGGGGCTCACAAACGCTTCAAGCAGAAACCAAATCGCTCTAAGCAATCAGAATTAATCCAGTTAGAAATTCAGGGAAAATTTTGCTTTGTAGCGTTCACTTTGTTGGGCAGTTTAATTGAAAATTGTAATTTCCAGGGTAAAACCACAGTGAAAAAACATAACTACGCACCGGTTTGGAACGAGCAGCTCGTATTTACGGAGATGTTTCCTCCACTGTGTCAGAGGATCAAAATTCAGCTTCGGGACGACGATCCGGTCAAACCCCGAGTTATTGGCACGCATTTCGTGGATCTGAAGACCATCTCGAATGATGGCGAGAAGGGTGAGATCAGGTAGCTTTCTGTAATAAAAACTTATAAATGGAAAGCTGCTGTGGAAGTTGGGATAAAATCGCCATCCTCTAATTGCGGTTAAAACTTACGAGATTAAGTGCTCAAGTTTGTTCATATCCGGGCTAGGAATCAGAGGGGATTTTCGTAAAAATTGGGAACAAAATTGCTATAAAAGCTAAAGAGTAAACACTTGCAGTAATAACGTGAATGTTGAGTGGTTGTAAACAACACAAAACTCAAAAATGTTTAAAAAAAATTAAAAAATGTCCCCCTTTCCTGATACTTTATTGGCGTTGCTTTAATTAACTGATTTGTATTTAAAGGTCGAAAGTAAAAGTGCAAATTGGAAAACGTAAGAGCAACAAAACATTCCATTCTAAACAGTTTTTCATGCAATTTTAGGCTTTATGCCCACTTTTGGGCCCAGTTTTATTCATCTGTATGGATCGACCCGGGACTACAGCATTATCGACGAACATTCGAGCCTTAACACTGGATTGGGCGAAGGTAAGGAAAAGCACCAATTTTTTTGCGGAAAACCGTCAATCGATCAAATGAGCCCCATGCTCATTTTATTCCGAATTTCTCCCAAGAAGCCGAATTTACGTTCAGAGTTGCAAAATGTTGCTGAGAACGTCGTCATACCTACAATTTTGAAATTTTTCCAAATAAGGTTAAACCACGGAAGTTCTTAAACAAGACTGACTGAACCAAAAAAATAATTCTGCGAAAATTTAATGCCGATACAAGCAAAAGTCCCCTTTTCGCTTTTCGCCTCAAATTCATAGAGCTTTTCATTAACTCGGCGAAACCATCGTAAAACATTCAGCATCCACCCGAGATAAAGAATTAATTTGCGCTCTAAACGATGAATGGAAACATTAACACTAGTTAAGAACAGCCAAAAGTTTTCGTGAAACTGGAAGGTTTATTGCTAAAGTTTCGATCATTGTCGATGAAAAAATACTCGGATGGATTAATTTATTCTTCAACAGACTGAAGATAGTAATTTTTTTGAATTTGTCCCCAATCAGGAGTTTCGTATCGTGCCAGACTGCTGATCTCCATCCGAACAGAAATAACCGACAACATCGACCTATCGCCAGCCGCAGTTGAATTAGAACCGACCACACCGATAAATGAAGAATCATACGCAAAAAATGAAGAATTCTTCCTGTTCACCACCATTCTGGATGCATCGATGATTGACAAAAAATTAGGAGACAAACCCGTTTACTTTGAAGTCAGTATCGGGAATGCTGGAAACGCTATTGATGGACACAACACGTCGACAAAAGAACATTACGATTCAGACAGCGATGAATTAGGTAAGATACTCTTGTGTGCTTACCAATGAATGGGTCTGTGGAACGTAACTGGGAATAATCAGCGCGTTCAGACAGTATTGATTGGTGCTTTGGCCCTTTTCGAATGGAATTACAGAAACATTTTGCAGCTGAATTTGTGAAACACTACTGGTAATGAGTTTTGCTGATGATTTGTCGTCGAAAAGGGAGATTAACGAGGGCCGCTTGTCCAATTCGTCCAAAGTTGTTTGCGAGTTTAAAATCTAATTAACATTGGGCTAAACATAGAAGAGTTGCAGTTTTAACAGGAAAAAAATTACAATTTTCGTAACGAAAGCATTTTTTTTCAGAAATAGTTTCTTCAGACACAGCTTGTTGGCAAAGTACCACAAGCCCAAGCAAACCGATGACCCACGATAAAATTTACTATTTTTTGCCTTACTGGGACAACAAACCTTGCATGCACATACGCTCAGTTTGGCCTGACTATCGCCGAAGATTGTACAATGCGAACATCATTGGCAAAGTTGCTGAAAAATTGGTAAATAACCAATTTTTCGCAAATTCTCTAACTCATTTCCTTTCGACGCTTAGGAGGATGGTTTAGACGAAGTGAATACAGCCGCCGAAACCGACGATCCAGAAGCAGAATCCAAACTGAAGCAAGTGTTAGACGATTTGTCGACATCTTGTGCGAAATACATCACGATTTCGAAATCCTCCACCACCGGCCCTGGAACTGAGAAGACCAAGCTGGACAAAGAACGATTGAAACTATGCCAACGGGAAATAGTGAGTCAATATGCAAAAGTGGCGCAAAAATATTCCACCCCATGCACATGGAAACTGCAGGAATTATTTTAATGTTTCCTTGAAACCCGATAAGCACGATCTCGCTGAAAACGTCCAACGGAATTCTAAAGCAACGTGAATGCTGAACAATGGCCCGTTTAATTGCCTTTTCAAGTAAAAACGGGGCCAATTTAAAAGTTTTCTTTTAAATAATGCTGGAACGGGAAATAATTTCATGCCCTCCGAGGCATTTTATTGTGTATTTTTAGAAGTTGGTTTCTTTTTTCTCGACCGTTTTTGGGCCTATAATAAGAAAGAAATCATCGGCAAAAACCACACAAAACATACCGAAAATAACAATTTTTCCTTTAAGGAACACATTGGAAATGCCGCAAGAAACCTAAAAGCGCTAGTGACAAAAAATTCCTTCAAAGATCGCTACAAAACCGCGCAATCCTACTTAACAAAACTCAGATTCCTCACTGAAGATGTAAGTAGACCTTTCATAGCGATTTAATCTCGCGTTTATCTGCGGCTTGATTTCAGCCTCAACATTCACTTCCTGATGTGTTTTTGTGGATAATTTGCGGCGGAAAGCGACAGGCTTACCAAAGAATACCAGCTAGGGACATCGTCTACTCAATAGTGGACGAGGAAAGTGGAAAATATTGCGGAAGAGTCAGAAGCATCTTTTTAAAGGTAATGGAATGAAAAAGGCGGAGCGAGAAACGTGTGTGCAAAAAAGAGCGCGCCTACCTGCACATGGGCTCCGCCCTCAACCCACCCAAACGCTACTTTTCTCTGTCAGTTGTGGGAATTCGTTTCCGTTCCTTGTTCCACTCATCAGACCTTGTGTGAATATTAAGGATTTAATTAATCGGGGCAGAGGATTAGTGAAGGTGAATCATACTCTTACTGGGAGCCTTAAGTGAGCCGTTGGTATTTTTTTCTTTTTCGCAAGGCAGCCGGGATTATTTTGCCTTAAAAATTCCGTTCTAATATCGCCAGCAGGCCCGTCGGAGGCACAGAATTCATTACCTTAATGAGAATTCTTGTTAACCTCGACTATTAAATTACGTTTTACTCATTCTAGCGTCCTAATTGTGTCGAACTTCGTTTTATTCTACGAATTATTTTGCGTTTGGCAATTAACGAGTTTTTCGTCTCAACTCCCACCAGGCGATTATTTTCAGTTTTCTTATCAAGGCGATTTTTTGCCAAATTTACAAAGGAGTAGCTTATTTTCGGTAAATTCTTCAGTGTGTTCATTTAAAACATTGACGATCATTGCTTGGTCGAAAAGAGTTTCCCGGTCATTGCTTGAAACTGGTTAGTTTTTTTGGGTTTTTAGGCCGTCGGGAAAAAGCAATTTTCCAGAACTGGCATCTTAATGCGGTTAAAGCCACATGAAGCATTCTTTCAGGTTGTTTAGTGGCAAAAGAATTCAGGATGGCCTGATGTAAACGTCCGGGATAAAATATCATCCAGGAAAAGTCTACATTAGAGCCGACCGATCAATAGAATATTTAGCTTCCAGGTAAAAAATCGAGTGGACCGAGTGGATGGACGATCCCAGCTAGAATGCAAATATACTTTTGGCTGGGTATGTTAAAGCATAAGAAGCATTTTATCGCTGGTATACCCAAAGGGTACGAAGTATCTCAAGAACTCCGAAACGTTGAAAGACCGCGAGCGCTTCCGCCATCAGTTATACACTATGTGGAAAAACACGTAAGTTTTCGAAAATGCTGAAGTTATCGGCTGAATATTTAGTTTGCAGACGTTTCAACTCAGGGCTCACGTTTACCAAGCAAGATCCCTTATAGGGAGCGACGCCTCGGGACTATCTGATCCATTTGCCCGCGTTATTGCAGGGGAATTCTGTCGGACCACGCAAGTTATCGATGAGACTTTAAGTCCTACTTGGGACGAGTTGCTGATTTTTGACGAAATTCTCCTATTCGGTAAGCAACATTAAATAGGTAGGGTATTTTCACCGCGACTTACACCATCAATCAATCCTCAGAAATAATGAGTGCGTTTCTTCGTTTTCTTCTAGGTTCTTCAGAAGAAATCAAAACAGACCCACCCTCAATAATCATCGAAATATTCGATCAGGACAAAGTGGGGAAATCGGAATTCATCGGAAGAGCGATAGCAAAGCCCCACGTTAAGCTGCGAGATGAACAATACAAAAAGCCAACCTTTCCTCCATCCCTGGAATGGTTTACCATAACCAGAGGACCAGATCATGCTGGTGAGCTTCTGGCCGCTTTCGAGCTGCTAGAAATTCCCAGTGGAACTGATGAAGCCTTGCCTCTATTGCCGCAAGCCAAAGACATTCCCATCTATAAGGTAGGTGATACGGCTGAAAATTCAGCTTTTTTATGTGAGGTTTAACCTCAGGATACTGATACCAAAGACTTGGGGCCTCTGCTGCCGGTGCCCAGAGGAATCCGGCCGACTTTGGCGCGTTATAGGATAGAGGTGCTTTTTTGGGGGCTCAGAGATTTGAAGCGAATCCACTTGCTGACTGTGGATAAACCCAGGGTGGACATCGAATGTGCTGGACACATTCTCTACTCCAGCATCATATCAAATTCCAAGTGAGTTTAGCTGTTTAAGAGCCGATATCTTCAGGAGCATTTCGGCGGGTTTTAGGAAAAACCCCAACTTTTCCACCCCTGTGAAATTCCTGGAACTGGATCTTCCAGAGCAGGAATTATATCGGCCACCCTTAACCATACGGGCAGTGGATTGTCGCAGCTTCGGCAGGTGAGCGCAGGACGAAACCGTCCAGTCACTTGCAAGAACTGGTAATTTTAGGTACACTTTGGTTGGAACTCACATCATTAACTCCATCCACAAGTACATGTACACGCCCTTAACGAAAAAGGAAAGGGAAGCTGAGGACAGGAAAAGGTCCTTAAACCAACTGAGAACGGTTGATGGGATTTTGGTTGCAGGCAACCAATCACCTTCAGTGGTTTCCGGCGGAACCGTGGACGATAAGGAAAAGAGCCCGCTTCTTCCAAGGGACATCACCATTTCCTTCGGTAACCTCTTGAAACTGAATTGTTCCGGAAATTCCTGAATACCTTGCAGGATACGGCACCCAAGAATCCGCAAAGAAGACCAAGCGCGGCAGTGGGAAGAAACGAAAGCAGAGCGTTGATGAAGAGCTTGATGATGAGGAAGGAAGCAAGGATTGGTGGACGAAGTATTTCGCGTCCGTCGAGCGGATGATCCACGAATCCAAAGAAGCCAAAAAAATATCCACGTGAGGACTTTAACGCTGAAACCCGAAAAACCCGCCTTTAATGGTTTTTTTTCTACTAGGCAAAATGGAAATCTTCAAGTCTATTACGCAGAGGACGACAGCAACACTCCATCAGGATACAGTTCAGACAAAAGTCCGGGCCAGGAATACAAAAAGCGATTCGGCTTTAAAACAGCAGCAAATGCCTCGAGATTGACTGCTCGAATTAGCCCGAAAAGTGTGAGGAAAAGCAGCAAATCCAAGCCTGTGCTATGCAAAGTATGTCGACTTCAGCAAATGGGGCCCAGTTTTCAGCTGGAGGAAAATGTTCGCTCTGTATATTTTGAAAAGTTGCAATTATTTCCAACATTTCAGCTGGGGTTCAGTTTAATCAACTTTTTTCTCCATCTTTAGGTCTTTCCTACGGAGTTGGAGGCACGTCCTGAGTTTTCCGAGTTCAAAGAATGGCTGCATACTTTCGAGCTGTACCGCGGCAAAAAAACTGGGGAAGAGTCCGAGGATGAAAATCGGGTTGTTGGGTATTTTAAGGTAGACACTTTTCAGCCTTAAAGTGGTGCAATTCTCATCCCTACCCTGGTTACTCCCTAGGGGGCAATAAAAGTGTATAAATGGCCACTGCCTAGGGACGTAGAAGAGAAAACAATAATGGGCTTCGACCCCCAGTTCGGTTACTTTCAAGGAATCCCTTCCAATGACCCCATCAGGGTCCTGGTGCGAGTTTACATAGTGAAAGCCAACGATCTTCATCCAATGGACTTGAATGGAAAAGCCGATCCTTATGTGGTTCTGCAGCTGGGCTCCAAGCGGATCAGCGACAAGGAAAACTACATCTCCAAGCAACTGAATCCGGTGTTTGGAAAGTAGGGATTTTCGCACGTTTTGCTTCAGAAACCATCGAGAATTTTCAGGTGTTTCGAAATAGAGGCCACATTCCCGCAGGACTCACTTTTGACGGTGCAGATTTTCGACTGGGACTTGGTGGGCTCTGACGATATGGTGGGAGAGACGAAAATTGACTTGGAAAATCGATTTTATAGCAAACATCGCGCAACCTGCGGGATTCCAGAGAAATATGAAGAGTAGGTGAAGTAAATGCGTCTTCAGCGGGAAACTTTTTACATTTTTAGGCACGGATACAATGCTTGGAGGGATGCAATGAAACCGACCCAAATCCTCGGACGGTTGTGTAAGGATTCGCGACTGGACCCTCCAGTGTATGGGGACGGGCAAGTCAAAGTTGCCAACCAAATATTTTCGGTATTCAATGAACAGTTCGAGTTTCACAAGTTTAAGGAATACGAAGAGCATATGGCGTTGGCTGTGCTAAACAGGTAGGAGGATTGCACCACTAAACACCAATGCGACACTGAAAGTCTTCCTCAGGTGGAACGAAGTTCCAAAAGTGGGCTGCCATCTGATTCCGGAGCATGTGGAAACCAGAGCGCTTTATAACCCGGAAAAGCCTGGCATTGAACAAGGTGGGCAAACGACCCGGAAAAGTCCCCTTAAAGTAAACTGATAATTTGAAGGAAAACTGGAAATGTGGGTCGATATGTTCCCAATGGACATGCCCTTGCCCGGTCCACCCTTGGACATATCACCTAGAAAACCCAAAAGCTATGAACTGAGAGTGATCATCTGGAATACGGACGAAGTGATGCTGGAAGATGATGCGTTTTTCACCGGGGAAAAGATGTCGGATATTTATGTTAAAGGGTTAGAACATGCTATTTCCAGAGTGGTTGGATACATATCGGGAAATTGCAGATGGCTGAAAGGCCCAGAAGATTGCCAGTGCACGGATATTCACTACCGATCTTTAACTGGCGAAGGCAACTTCAACTGGAGATTAATATTCCCGTTTGATTATTTGGTGGCTGAACAGCGCATTGTGATATCCAGAAAGGAATCCATGTTTTCCTGGGACGAAACCGAATGCAAAATCCCTGCCAGACTGGAATTGCAAGTTTGGGATGCCGATCATTTTTCAGCTGACGACTTTTTAGGTACTTAAAAATATTTATAATCTAGAGCTAAATTATTCTCAATGGCAGAATGGGCGTCCGCAGACCCAAATAAAAGGCGAAACGTCGGCAATTTAAAAAACCAGACCTTTATTTTAACACCGATCCAAATCCCGATCTTTTTTATGTTATTGCTTGATTTTCTAACGGGATTTGGATCGATGCACAAAAAATTATTTTTTTTATAATAAATGGTAACCCGTTAGCAATAAAAAAAGGCTCTTGCTGATACATCGATCCAAATCGTGTAAGAGATACGAGCTGTAATTTTTTGCATTTTTAGGAGCAATTACTTTAGACCTTAACCGTTTTCCACGTGGAGCCAAATCGTCCAAACTCTGCACTTTGGACATGTTGAAACCGGATGAATCTGTTCCTACCGTGAACATTTTTAAACAGAAACGAGTCAAAGGCACTTGAATGTAAAAAATGAGTCATAAACCCGCTTATAACGCGCGATTTTAGGTTGGTGGCCATTCTACGTGAAAAAAGACAACGAAGAAATGGAACTGACTGGAAAAGTTGAAGCGGAAATTCACCTTTTGACCAAAGAAGAAGCTGATAAAGTGCCGGTGGGACTGGGAAGAAACGAGCCTGATCCTTTGGAAAAACCAAAGTACGGTTTATATAATACCGTGTTTTTCCCTAACTGTTCATGGTTATTTCAGCCGACCTGATTCGTCTTTCATGTGGTTCATGAACCCGATTAAATCCATTCGATACATTCTCTGGCACAACTACAAATGGACGATTTTGAAACTGCTCATCATAATATTCGTGGCAATAATTATATTGTTGTTTTTTTACTCTATTCCTGGATATACTGTGAAGAGAATGCTCGGTGCTTAAGCACATTGTAAATTATGGATGCTAGTCGAAAATATGCATTAAAATACTTGACTAAAATTTTCAAAGAGATTCAGATATTTAGTGCATGTTATCAGCAAAGTCCGGTTCGGTAAGCAATTTTTATTGATAAGTAAACATATCAAATCTTTTAAAATTGGAGAAGAAACCGCATGTTTAAAATGTTTCAAACTATTAACAAATCCATCACACGTAGATGCCCATTTTCACTCATGTTCTAAAATCAATCGATTTTCCAACAAAGTGTTTGTGAACGAGGGCTTGATTTTCTGTTCTTGAACACAAATGCTCAAATTTACAATATTAATTTAAAAATTTGCTTTCATAAAGAGAAATAATCAAAGCAAACGCGCCTTTGAAAAAACGGAGCTCGTATAATGTAAATACTATTTCTACATTCTAAATCTTATGCAATGAAAACAATCTTGAATCGTGCAAATTAATTAAATCAAAAGATATTTCCATAATTGTAAATAAGTATAAGGTACTTACCATCAAAATGTTATAAAAAGTTTCGGCTTTATAAAGTTGTTGTATCTTGCAACTGGCGTCTTTCCTCCTTAAGCTCTGAAGAGTAATCGGGAAGAATTGAGGAAAATTTGGACTGTGATTATTTTATTTGACGAAAATGTGTTGTTACTTTGGACGAAAGGCGCCAGTTTTTAAATTTATTCTTCTGAGCAAAAACAATCTAATTCAGTATTAAATAATCAAACAACTCTAGAAGTAAGGTTTTACTTACATGAGGCAATATTTTCTCTTCGATCAATGTAGAATAACGTAAATATACACAAGTTGCTATTCAGTGAGTTTTAGTGCTTACGACCTTAGTGCCAATTCCCTCAACTTATCACCACCTAGGGGCTAAAAATCTGATCAAAACTCCCTTAAAGAACACGCATTTATTCAGTTGAGTTTACGTGGACTTCAAATGGACATTGTAGATCATATTTGAGCTGCTATATAAAATTCTCCACACCTAAAGTAGCAGAAATAATTTTTTGAAGAAGTACCGGAAAAGTTTAGTTTACCTTAATGCATAAGCTAAAGTTGATTGCCACGCTAGGCAAAATGTTCAATTGAACTTCGTGGTTTGCCCCAATCAGCAGCATTAAGTACATTTTTTGATTCGCTAAATTCATGCGATACCACGGCAAGTCGCATAGAGACTCATAGAAATATTTCCACTGAAAAAAATGCGATTTTCTCAAAAAATATACGTTTTCATTACTGAAAACTCGAAAGCAAGAAAACATTTTTTTTTAATTGAGATTGCTATGAAGAAAGGATAAAAGCGAGGAATTTCCATTATTACCCTGCCTATCCATTAAATAAATAATTGAAGAAAATTACCTCGTCTTCAAATCCTTGTCCGGCAATGATCGCAAAAATCAGCACACAGAAGCAAACCAAAAAATGCATTATCGCAGTCATAAAACTGATTCTACCCTAAAAAAAATTCCATCATCCTCGCTGTTTTCTATAGTAGGTGGGTACTTCACTTCTACAGTTGCATAAATCACGTAGATACTTAGCAAAGCTGTGGGAACAATACAGTTGATCCCGGCAGACCTAAATATGGTCTTCTTGTCCAAAAATACTCTAAAAAAACGTGAAGTTATCGAAAAGTTTAAAAAATCACGCACTTACTGTTTAATTTCGCAGTATCTTGAAACAATGCGTTTCAAACAATCAGCAGTTTGTCGATCTCCGTTTCGTTCATTGGGATTCTGATGCAACGCTTTGTTAAAATCCTTAACGTACTGAACCAGCAGGAAAACCTGCACTTGGGCAGCAGTAGCGAAGTAAATCTGGATGTGGGGAAGGATCAGAACAAAGTAGCAAATAGTCCAGATATCGATTAACTCGATTAAATAGACGAAATTCGTCAATATTGCCTGATCGATTTCCTGGACGAAGTTCATTATGCTAGTAGTATTAATTTGCTGGATAACAAACAAATAGTCTATATAAGACACGATTACGATCAGCTCAAACATGAGACTTTGGAAAAGCGCCAGTCTGCCAATAGTAACTTTTACTGCAGGTTTTGAGTCTTTCAGCGTCCACTGAAAGTCTTTGAAGCGCTTATTCGCTTCTAGCAAGTGAGGTTTTACCAACACGACGATTATTGAAGCAATAATGCCCTGAAGAACAAGCAATTAGTGGTTTTTAGGTGAGTGTTCAGAACGTACAAGCAACTGAAACCCCAGAATGAAACCATGCTTGCCAAACACCATATCGGTCCGAAAGAACAGAGCAACTTCCAAACAGCAAATCACTGCATTGATGTAAACGTACATCAAATTCCAGATCCTGATGAAGGTAAAGTGGCAGAAATAATCCACTACATAGAAGGATAACATCGGCGATAAAACGTAGTTAGTGTCTGGAATGGAATATTTGTTTTAAGCGCCCAAGAAGGGAAAAAGGGAGAATTACCTTCCATTTCGAATTTGAATAAATATTTCAACTGGAATAGTCTGAAAACGATTTTTATGAAAACCTTCAATTCATCTTTAATCAACTGAAGAGACATGGCTAAGAATGTGAAGCAAATAAGTTAATGTTTGTTGTCTACGAGAAAACCATCTATCAGAAATTCAAATCAGTTATTCAATACTAATGGGAATCTGATTAATATCTAGCTCACTTAAGTGTGTACCTAATGAATGTCGCGTTATTACAGCATTTTTTTAAACGATCCGCACAATGTAATGGTTTGGCTTAATACAAAAAAATGTTATTATATTAATATATGACAATAAACGAGTGGTTCGGGCTAAAAATCGTATTTTGCAAACTTGAAATCAGTTGAGAATCTTGAACGTCATCTGAGTTTGATGGTCGAAAAGACGATTTTTCAAGGCAAATGTTATCAATGTTTTCTTTGCGGATTCAAGGTCGATTTTCTTTTGGAAAACAGCTTTTTGCATGTTGAAAATTTCAGAAACATTCAAAATAAATTTTAACTTGAATTCGAAAGCGAAGAGAATTAAATCCGCGTGAACTTAAAAGAATCTGAGGACCGTAAGAAGGAAAGTTTTAAAATAAATTGCTCAAAAAACTTAAGGTTACACTGATAAATTTGGACTGTCTTTGGAATTGCATAAATTCTTTGCGTTGCGATCGATTCTATTTCTGTTTGAAGCGTTATTTAGTGCAATTCTTTTCCAGTTAGTGCGTGATTTTGCAAAAAAATGGTGCTTTAGAGAGTTTCTAGAGGGTGGCAATTGAAACAATACAATTTGCGAAAGTTTCGTGTACACAGTTGGACAAAAAACTTTCTTTTGTGTTCTAACACCACAAGCATTAAGATGCTCATAACTGGAAGTTTTTTTAATTTTTCGTTCATGTCGTTTATTTACAGAGTGGTCTCAAAAAATACATATATGTCTTGAAGTGATACTTTTTTCCTCTTGAACCCATTTTCGTACTTTAGGGTTCATGGTGAAGCTACAACTTCACAGTCGAAAACAGAAAAAAAATCAATATACCGGGGTGCATGAATTAGCAAAATATTTGAAAGTGAATTTCACTTTAGTTGAAATTCTGCCCGGAGTCGCAGATTTCTGGGGCAATTCTGGTTTGAATCATTTTTTATGCAACCCTGTACATGAAATTTTCGAAGTAAGCGTGGAGCTTTAGCCTCAAGATGAGCTTGAAGAAGAGCAGAAAAGCTATCGCTGCAAGATCAATAAGTAGATTTTTTGAGACCACCCTGTAAATCGAGTGAGATGTTTCGAGCTATTTGATTTACCTTTGAAATATGGTGTTGAGATCAAAAATTTTTTATTTTTAATATCTGCCTTGTATAAAATTTGCCTAATTTGCTTCATTTCGATTGAAAAATTGACAAACAGAAAACAAATAGGGCTAAATAACGCTTGAAATAGAATCCAAATCCCTGGAAGCAATACGAATTTATCCAGTTCCAAAGTTAGCACAAATTTGGTTGCGTATTTTTGCGTTAATTTTGTTGAGCAGTTTAGATTCAAAAAAATTAAGTTCTGAATTTTGAAAGAATTCGCATATAAATCAAATAGCTCGCACTTAAAAAAGTAACTTGCACTGATTTTCCAAAAACAAATATTGTGAAAAATAGGATGAAATTTTAAACCGTAAAATATTGGAGATTTCGAGAGAAATTACCTCTTCTGTACCCGAAGCAGAAAAATTCCAGGCTATAAGAGATGCTAATAAAAATTATCTCAAGGCAGAGGACAGGAACTCAAGGAGACGGACGGGGTACCAGAGAAAACGGCAATGTAATTTACAAAAATCCTATTATTTCATAAGTACAATTTTCTTCTCCGTGCTTAATACTGGTGTGGCGAACGTCAATCCTACTATACAGTCATTTAGTTCTTCTAAAGCTAGTTGAGCATGCAGCCTAAAAAAAATCAGAAAGTTGTTAAATCCGAAAAAATATTAAAGTGCTTTTTCCCTTACCTCATGGTGTCGTCTTTGTCGTTGTAATAAATGTTTTTAAGCATTTTATAAATGGGCAAAAGACTCTCTTTCAGTTCAACAAGTATTTCGGTCGCTAGTCCCTGGAAAAGCTGCCTCAATACAGCAACAGCTGCCCGACGTGGCTCGGCCGATTTGTCCGTCGCTATGATGCTGTTAACACAGACCAAAATCTGAAAACAATTACAATTATTAGTTTAAAGAACACTGAAACTTTAGGAATCATCAGAGCATTGAAAGGAGCTAATGTATCTTACCTCGGAAATGATCGATCCCAATTTGAAACCCAGCACGCGACAGATTTCGCCCAAATTCGACAAACTAGAGGCTCGAACCAATGGGTCATCATCCTTGGTACCGACGAGGAAAGCGTTCAGAAGCACTGCTTTGTATCTCGGTGCCATTTCACCTAAAATCAGAGTCATTAGAGCGTTTGTTTTCTACGGAAAAGTTGAGTTGAATTTGAATTTATTTAACTAGTAAGGATTTACAGCAAATTGTACATACAACTGTAAAACCCTGCAGAGATAAACATAAATCTATACGCAGGCCTAGTTGCAAGAAAACATTTACATACCTAGATTTTTGGAAACTCTCACTAAAACTTCTCCGAGCTTCAATCGCACTTCGTGCCTATCATCTCCTGTTCGTGCGGACTCTGAAAACTCTTCACACAGAGTGTTGATGACAGTATCAGTAAAACTGTTACACAGAGCAGCTACTCCTTCAATGGCGTTCAGGTAGATAAACGAATCCTGGTTGTTTAAATTTTCCTTTAAAATAAAATTGTTGTTAGTTGCTTGAAGTAGTGAAAACATTGTCTATACCATACCCGAAATATTGTTAAGATGGCCTGCTTTCGGTCTTTAACCAAAGTTTCTCTGTTCTCAACTAGCTTCCTAAGAGTGAGAAGAGCATGTCCTCTAACCGGCAACAAAGGATCGTAAATTTGCTTCAAAATGGTATCAAATTTCAATCTGTCGTCCGTGAGGTTTTCGGTGTTTTTACGAGTTGTTCCTCCTAGGTCAAGATACTCCAACACTTTATAAATCATCTCCAGCAGCTCCTCATGGTGACCGTCAGCACGAATCATCCATAAAGGATCATTCAATACCTGATAAGCTTCAACCTCTTTTCTGGTGCAATTGCTCATCAGAGACTGCAGAATCATGACAACAGTGAAAATGCTTTGGAATTCGTGCGATTCATAGTTCGTAGTCGTGTGAGCGTTGGCTGCTATTCCATCTTCCAAAACCTTTTTAATAAACTTGATTATTTCCTGCGGCGATTCTACGATGCGGCTTTGAAGCGTTTGATCTGCAGCGAGAGTAGCTAAACACCGAAAAACGGCCAGTTGTCTTTCGATGCTGGGGTTGGCCAGCTCTTCTTCCAGGGTTAACAGTTCTTCGTTGCATTTGGGGAAGTATTTTTCTCTATGCACCAGGCACCTCAATAAGTAATTGAAAAATCTTGAAAGCCAATCGGGATTGGTGCCAAGCAGCTGGCAAATTCCTTCACTGTTCACTGCTGTTGGTGATATAGATGAATGTTCAGTCGGGTTCACCACAATATCTTGTCCGTCGATATTTAAAGTTGCTTTGTTGGTAAAAGGCATTATGTGGTCTGGATAAATTTCGAACATAAATGCATCGAAAATGGCATCATCGTTCCGCTGGTCTGCTATAAATTTCCGCAAAATCGCCTTGCATTCATAGTGAGTTGTTTTGAAAAGATTGTTCTCCATTGTCGCAAGGAAAATCTTAAAAATCACCTGCAGAGGAAACTGCAGCATTATCACAGGCAAACTGGGGCATTCACTGGGCTGCACGAAGAGTTGATGAATCAGTCTTATGTTCTTTTTTACAAGCTGAGTGATGACTCTATTTGTATGCCGGTAGTTGTTGAGAGTGAAGCGAAGCAGCACCTCCAGGACGCTTTGGACGAATAGATCGGTACATAAACCATTCTCGTCGGATTTGAAGAAATTCTTGGTGCACAGGACGAATAGTCGTTCATAAATGAAACAATCGGGCTCATCATAGTATTTATGAGCAAGTCGAACAACCTGCTTGCACATATCCAGGAAGTTACTTTGCTTCTTACCGCGTTCTATCAGTCGAAACAATACATCTAAAGCGTACCAACTTTTTGTTTGATCATTCGCCACTCCGTCTAGAACTGCAACGGCAATCTTTTCAATTCCTTTCGGTGAATTCATTATGCGGGACAAAACCTGGTATACAGCTTTGTTAAACCACACAGGACAACCACGGTCTGGCATCATCATAATTGCCTTCACATAAATTGACGGGTGAATGGTTTTCTCCAATTCCTCTAGTAAAGCGAGGGCCGTTCTCCTTTCGGATAGGAGCTGCTCGTATAATTGGTCATTTACTTCCAAATCGGACTGCGACTTGAGCACGCAATGCCCAATTTGGTAGAGTCCAGTCAAAATGATCTTTAACGAATCCGGAAGAATTATCGGTCGAAGGCTGGCGTTATGCAGAAAATCGCACAAAGCGAAAACAGTGCACTTGAGTAAGTTGTATTCGTAAAACTTGTCGTCAGCACATGTAAAGACTTGGTTGATTCTATAAGGCAGCTTTGGCACTAATTTGGTCTGAATCCCCAATGTGACTACCTCCTCTATTGAACGTCTAGCATCTTGCGTTTCTTTCACACTTAGTGTATTCCTAATATCATCATTCGCTTCCAAAACTTCCCCCAATCTTTTCAGCAAGTACAAATTATAAGCGAGGTACTGCCATTCAATTAATTTCGGATCAGAGAAATAATGCTTTGTAATATTCTCACAATAACGTTCGATTTTCTCAAAACTCCCCAACATTTTGTTCGCCTCGACGCATTTATCGCTGAACTGGGAAACGTATTTTTCTGAAAGAAGCAACGAAAACGTGTAAAAATAGCGTGTAAAACGGAAATAAACAGGCACAATGCAATATTAATCTTCACTAAATTGACTACTTAAAACTTTTTATCAACTAATCCAATCTAGATAAGTTCTATATTGTTGAGGCGGATTCCTTTCTTCACAACCAGGGGCGGATCCAGCTTTAAATTCAGGGGGGGG